GCTATCCAGGTACATGAATAACCAGGTGATCATATCTGATGGGCACCGAAGCCTGAATATTAGTTCTGTTGATGTGAGTGAGAGTTTTGCCATTGACTTTAATGGGATTTCAATTGGACTTTAATAGAATGACGTGCTGCACATAGTCCAAGTGCTATGTCCACTCATCTATAACTCTTGTTTATTTCTTGACCAACTAAAATTGAGCAGAACACACTTGTCATATGTCACCACATCTATGAAATATTTTAGAGAGACGTGTGTGCGCGCGCGCGCGCGCACACACACACACACACACACACACACACACACACACACACACACACACACACAAGGTGAAAAATGCATAAGTGGGATAACTCAAGAAATGGCTAAATTAAAATGTACCAGATGTTCTGTTCCCTCCTTATAAAACAAATCACACCTTTTTGGAATAATAAGCATGAATCCCTTCAGCTCAAAAGGTAGTTTCCTAGAAAATTATCAGCAACTGAAAATACAGGCTTGGGATGAAAGCATTTCTTTAAGCATGACTCTGTCATCACTAGTATAAGGCTAAAAATACATCAAAAAGGAGAACAAATGGTAAGGTGAGATCAAACATAAAAGATATTTGCAGTAGTTTTCTTTGTCCTCTTCCATTGTACACTACAGAATATGCAGATTGTGAATATTACTGTGTCCTTGGACAGATGAAAGCATTTTAGGAGTAAAGAATAGATCATATAACCTTGCTCACTGCTGGAAACAATTTCAGAACCATCTAGGAAAGTTAACTTTCTCTTTGAGTAGCCTTACTCTGGTAACAATAAAAGACAGTTAACATTTATTCATATGTTGTACTGGTTAGGAAATAGTTCTACAAACACAAGTTACTTAGAAACAGCAAATCTGAAATAGGAGAAAACACCAAGAGAAAAACAAGCTGTAAATACATTTCAAAATGTGTTTGTTTTTTTGTTTTGCTTTTTTGTTTGTTTTTCTGTTTTTTCCTTTTTCTTTTATTGACTAGCACCATCTGTACACAAGAAAGTATGAACATAAATGTTTGGATAATAAAGATTTGCAAGGCACTTAAACAGTCTTTCTGTGTAATTTCTTTTTTACGAAGCTCTCTGCCATGGTCCTATAACCACCCCTCCTGCTTCCTCGGCTAACGTAGCGGAAGAGTCTTTTCTACTAGCAGTTCTTATATACAAACGTGTCCTCAGAGGTTCCTCAAAGTGCTCTTTCAGGCTAGGAGATTCGACATCCTTACATCTTTCTTTTTTGTTTTTTTTTGCATTCATTGTGTATTTTATTAATTGTTCTTCGGTATAATAAAGAAAATCTCTTCTCTCACACACACAGTTGAGACTTGACACCAACCTTCATCCTCATTTTGTTGTCTTTGGGACGCTGTTCAATAGGAGCGGGAAGGGGACTGGGGTGGTTTGAAATTCTCTTGAGGTTTGTTCTTTATCGGCGTCTGGAAGTGATGTCAAAGCAGGTGATCATCATGAGGTGGGCCTTGCAGAAGTTCACACGGTTTTCCAGACGTTCAGTCACACACTCCAATGCCTCCAGGTACTCCAGGGAATCCAACTCAAATACCTGCTCCAGGTCAACTAGGAGAAAGGAAATAAACCGATGGGAAGACCAGACAAAAAGCAACAGAGATTACTGGGAATCATGGGCCTAATCCAAGCCTTTGAGCCCAATATTGTTATAGAAGCAGTGGCCAGCAGCTGCAGTCTGTGGGACGGGTGGCTTCAGCAGGGTGTCAGTAGCAAGGAACTTTGCCTATCACCCCTGCTGAGGCCATGCCACCACCGCTTCTCCCAGCCCCCCACTGCCCAGCTGCAGCGCGAGTGCAGCTTCCACCTAGCAGGGAACTGAGCTAGGATCACACAGCCAGAAGCTGTGTCTGCATTGCCACTACTTCACCCCCCCCTTCTGTGGCATGGATGTGGCTTCCAGCAGCCTGGCCCAGTGCAGCTCCTTGGTGCCCAACCTCAGTACGAGTGCTCTGCAAGTCAGATCCAGCGGCGTTGTGGGCCACTACAGAGGTAGCCTTGAGTTGGCGCTTTCATTTAACCTGCACTTGGGGTTTTAGCTAAAAAAAGAATAATATGAATACTGTATGGGTTCCTTCTTGTAGTGTCATACTCTCCTCTCCTGAATCAGGAATTACTGTACACTAAACCACACTTTCCACAGCCATATTCTCTGTCAGTGGCTCCCCTGCCAACAACCGCAGTACTCGCTGCAAGTAATTTCTACTGACTGGTATGAAACAAAAATGTGTGCATGTCACTTTTTCCTTTAACCTTTTACAGAATATACAGAATATTACATTGTTTTAGACCCCCTTTCCATTCAGACCCTGGTTTGGCATGCACAAGTTTAAATCAATTCTTATTCAGGACACGTACTCAAGTCTTTTTGGCTGTCCTATGCACTCTGCTGAACAGAAATCGATTTAAGCACAGGCTTAAGTGCTTTCTTGAGTTTGGGCACCTGGATGCCCAGGGCTGGCTTGATCTATTTGGAGGTAAGTCTAACTAACACATCAAAGAGTTGGAAGGTTTTATTCAAGTAAGTTGTATTGAGTTCAAAGGTCTTCCTGTGATCAAATCATTCATCAGTTCAAGTCAATTCAATTATTAAGGATTCTGGCTAAATGCCATGCTCCCGAAAATGACGTAACACACATACAACCATAATATAAATAAGTTCAAACAAAGTAACCGAACTACAAATATTATACTAAAAATAGAACCCACCAACATAAAAACATTATTAATATAATAGTAAATCATGACATGAATCTATAATATTGTTGTACATAGATTTGATTTTATTGTCTCGGTTGTGGATCTAACGTTAAAATATATCACTTATATCAGTAATAAAGGATATTTAACTCTAATTGACTTATAAGCAAAAATTGCAAGACGGTTTACTAAATTAGATCATTCATCAGGCTAACATTGTTAAGGCACGCCAATTTCTATGGCCAGGAGCACAGGAAGGAGTGAGGTGGGATAGAACTATGTCCAGGGACCTATTTACAGCTGAGCTGACTGCAGGTGCAAATCCAACGTGGGTCCGGAGCAAAACTGAACTTTTGCCTTTGGATCCACAGTATCATGCCTTAACTCAGGGGTGGGCAATTATTTGGGCCCACAGGCCACATACCAGTTCTGTGGAGCTGTCGTGGACTGGTCAGCACCCTCCTCTACCCAACAACAGCCTGGAGCCTGCGCTCTGGACCGCCCACCCACTGAGCACTGGCAGCAGTGGTGGTGGCTGAACAGAAGCTGCTGCTGGGTTTGGGGGAAAAGTGGCTGCCTCCCCATCGTTGCTGCTGGGCCCTTCTTGCTGCACCGGCTCGGAGCCTGTGCCCAGGCTGCCCTCCAGCTTCTCTCTACTCTAAGCACTGCCCTTCTGGGCAGCCTGGAGACGGTGGTGACAGCAGCAGAGAGAAGCTCCAGGGCAGCCTGGGTGTGGACTCTGGGTGGCTGCAGCAAGAAGGACCCAGCAGCAATGATGGGGAGGCAGCCACTTTTCCCCCAAACCCAGCAGCAGCTTCTGCCCATCTACTGGCTGCTGTCATGGGCATGCCCATGGGCTAGACGGCACCTGGGCCAGGCAGGACCGAGGAACCCACTGCTGGCTGGACAAAGTCCCTCCGTGGCCCAGATCAGGCTTATGGGCCATATTTTGCCCACCCCTGCCTTAAGTGCTCTGCAACTGCACTTGTACAAAGTGGGGAGGGGATTAATCTAATTTGCATCTCTCTAAATTCAGAGCTCTGCAGCGCATATATTAAGCCAAATAAGATTTGCTTAGACAGCGGTAGGCTGGTTGTAGTACATCTCAGCAAATCCAAGTCTGATTTGCACTATTTATCACTTCCGAATTTGGCTCAGGGCCTGGAATTGTGTAGTCTTTGTTTCACAAACAGGAAATGGAAGCAAAGGCACCAAGTGAGAAAGTGAATGCTGGTATATGTAAATATTCAGTGGTTGCCTTTATAATTTTATTTTTTTTTGCTCTTGATAACTAGATGACATTCCAACAGCTTTCACAACACTCTGCTGGTGCAATTATCAAAGAAAAAAAATGTGACTTAAAGGGCAATCTCTAACCAAAAACACATCGGCTTAATTCGTAATTTTCCTAAATAAAATAGAATTGGATGTTTAATATACCATTCCATCTCTGATTCTCACCCCTCAGCTTGCCAGTATTACTGATTCTTGCATAACCCTTGTAGTTTTTATAATGTTTATTTCTGGATTTTTATTTTTGACATTATTTCTGGTTTGATTGTGAATTCCTGTTAAGATGAAACTCAATGAACTTTACTCGTTTCTGGCTATAAAGGATCAAAATAATCCCTGGTGTAACTCCATTGGAACTAAGGGACAAACTGACTTCATAGTGTTATTCTGCAGTAGGTGAGAAGATTTATAATACAGCATATATGTCTGAGTGATCTGAAGCCAAAAAAAAAAAAATCTCATTTTCAGGAGCTGTGGACTGAAACGCACGAGTGTTAATCTAGCCGTGGCAATATCCACCATTATAATGCTGTGCCATTCCGGTATTTGGCTGTCAGGCAAAGGACCGTTCAATTCTACTGGCAATGTTTAATAGGAATTATATGGAAAGAGCTGTAGAAATACAGTCAATCTAAACCTGGACTCCTTGGTCACACGTCAGTTCAATTGAGTTTATAACCATATTGGGTCACATCCTAGCCTCCACATCACAAAACCTTCTTATCCCACCCTCAGTAAAACAAACCAAAGGATGCTTATGAGTACAGGCAATAAAACAAGGTCCTTACATTCACTGAGCCATTTATTAGGATCCAGCATCAGGTACTGTTTGGTCACCTCCAGTTCCCTCATTAACCACTCATACTTGGCCTTAACCTCAGCGATTCTCTGCTGGCGATGCTCCAGGATTTTCAGCTTGGCGTTGAAACAGATCACCTCCTGTTGACCGGGAAAGAGGAGTAGGGAAGGAATAGGTGAAGAGTAGATGAAATACATGTGTCAGATCCATTCAGCCAGGCTGTCTTTCAGTCAGCTCTAACCACAACACATTGGGGAAACATGTTGATGGGAACCTACCGTACATTTAGTGCACGAACCCATCTCAGTAAAATATATGGTAGTGTCCCATTGAACAGAGTCCGCCTCAGCGTTGACACTTTTTCAAATCACTACACTGAATACATTTTGACTACTTCATTCCCACAGCTGAGCTGTGCCTGTGCCTTTCTTTTCCATTTCCAGTGATCCTTGTTTCATCAGCAGCCCTAAATGTCCAGCAAACATCAAATGGGGCCCTAAACAGTTCACCCAGAAATCCTCTGTTACCTCCTCTCTCAGCCTGGTGCATATGATTAATGTGGCCTTGCACTCAAGGAGGCAGAGCTGGACCAGTCTGCCCTGCGCCTTATCTGCATATATATTTTTGGAGGATCCCAGACTTGTGACAAGATCACCTGGTTCCAATCATGAGTTGGGGAGTAAGGGCTAATTAGCACATACATCCTTTGTGGGGGGTACTTGGAGTACACACACATACTGAGCAGTGCTAAGCTCTGGTGCCACCATGGCTTGAAATGCTATTTGGCTCTGCTGGGTCCCAGCCCAATGAACTATATGGAAATTATAAACCTTTTGGCTTTGGATTAATAACATGCATCATTTGTACTATACTTACCTGGCAGGGGAAATACTATGATCACCAAGGTGGTGGTGGTTTTCCCAGGGGAAATACTGTGACCATTAAGGTGATTTTCCTAGGTACAGGGGATAACCACTTTTCTGGCACAGGGTAGTACCTGGGCAGAGGTAATGTATAGTTAACCTTCCACTTACATTTCCAGTGGGAAGATCTTGGCTTTACGCCTACTTTGTGGAACTGGGAGACTCTTCCTTCGCTTGCTCCTGCGGCCATATGGCTGAGGGGAAGCAAAAGTCGGGGGCATCTGAACCCAAGCCTCTTGGCTTTGGCCTGTACATAGGATGCCCGCCAAATGATTGGGAAATATCAGAAGCCCCAGGCAGGAAGGATGTTTGCTGGTAGTAGGGCCAAATATGGTTCTTGAATGACCCATGGATTTGGAATTGATTTGGCTGATTTGGCCTGGAACACGAAACATTTTCCTTAAAAAAAAAATCATTTGTGTTATAAGTAAGTACAAAAAGTGGTGCTTGAAAGTGTGTTTGTGGAGCACCTATGCTACGATTTGCAACAGTTTCAAACAAGACAAAATCCATCAATTCTGGATTTACTGTCTACAGGCACCCATAATAATTTCCCTATATACCAATATCTACAGGCATGTTTATTTCAAAGCCAGTGTTTCTAAATTTGCCCTTTTCTTCTTTGTGCTCAGGGAATCAGGGTCTGATAGTAAAGGAGGTGGGGATACTGCAAGGGGAAGAAGTTGGGGGTGGGGGCAGAGGGCAAAGGGGCCACCTAACTTTCCCTGATTTATTTTCCCTGCTGTAGCAGTGGGAGGGGGACAAATTCAAGGCAAACCTCCAATAATTAGATTCTATAACTGGAAACTTATAATTTATACTTTTTCCATATACTGAATCTAATTCTTGGGGCTTGTCTTATATACAACTAAATACAGTAATTAAGTTCCTTAGTGTAGGAAATCCATCTCAAACTGTATTGAAGCAGTCTGCACATAATATATGCAATTATTACTGGTAAACAAGAGAGGAAGTAACAATACCAGCCTTCAAAAGCTTTCAGCAAAGGGTTTTTTGTGAAAATGTCTCAATTTTTGAGCAGCTCCAATGAATCAAAATGGTTACTTTATTGTAGAGTGATCAGATACTGAGTAAAGACCCCTGAGCTAGGTGTAAATGAGCTAGCTCATATACCATAAGCAGACTGACCATGGCTGCAGCCTAGATGCAGGATGAATTACCTTGTGCTGATCTCTGGTATACCATACAACTTGTTCTCAGGAAAGCCCATTTAATGCTAGTCTGAGTGTTTCTATACTGTGCTGCAGGCTGCCATGTAGATATATGCATTGAGGTGTTTGAGGAGGGTGCACAATCATTTAAAAATGTGTGAATCATTTTGACACAATATCATAAACAGAAGTCAAATAATGTGATGTGCTCAAAAGGGATGGGAAGCCTCAGGGATAAAAACCAAGAGACATGAACAGGAAAAACTAGATAAAATATTGTTCAGGGCAGATCCATAGCTAGTATAAATTCGGTTCCCTCAGCCTTTCCATGAAACTTCAATTGTCACCAGCTACAGAGATGGCCTTTAAAGTTTTTAGATGGTTTTTAAAAGCTGTGAGGACCAAGCGTGGGCAGATGGCCAGAGAAAGGCAAAATTCATAGCCACAAAATCAAAATGATCAAAAGCACAACTGCTTGCCAATCTAAGGGGAGATGGTGGCAGTGGCTCTCAGAGTAGAGATCCTTCAAGACCAGGACCAGGGAGCCCATGGTAGGCACAGATGGAAGGAGTGTTTGTGAGTATAACAATGATATAGTTGTATTGTTTGTTTTGCTGTTCCCTATTGAAAGTGGGGTTTTTTGATGGATTTTTGTTCTGGTGGGGAAAGTGTTTATGGCTGCATTGTAGAAGGGTTGGGTGTAGCTCACTGCACTCTGCCTTCTGGATGGTGCTGGAAGTAGCCTCTTCCTGAGAACACCAACTCTTTTAGAAGCTGGGGGTGGAAATAAAAGCCAGGGAGCTAGAGAATGGATATGCACGTGGGCCTGCTTATGTGTGTACCTTCCAGCATACAGCCTGCTGGAGTCCACTGAAGCCTGCTGGTATGAAGCCTCAGAGAGTGGGGTTGGAGGGGATCTGCCACTTGGGGACTGCAGCTGAAAAGGCTGGAGTGGCAGGACAGAGGCAGCCTGCTGAGGGCCGCAGAGAAGCCAAGAACTCTGGGGTCAAGGGGGAATTTCAGTGCAGAGACAGTGACAATTCCTGCCGTCCACTGGATCCAGCTGGGGACTGAGAAAAAAGTACTGGGCAGATGTGAGTGAAGTGTTAGGAGACAGCTTGTTTTAAACCTTGATTTTATGTTCCGTCTTCCCGAGTTATGTGATAGCATTTTTTCCCCTAATTATTAAAGTTTGGGGTTTTTTTTAAATCCTTAAATATTTGTTGTCCCTTCAACTGGGTGTCCCACCTCAAGAAGAGTTTGCAACCTCACGGCCTGTCATAGTGCACTTCCAGTGGAGCTTCCAGTGAAGAAAGCTAACTTGATTTATAGCTGCTCATCTATGAACTTCAAATTTTGATTGTGGACCTCCTGTGAGATGCTGAGAGTGTCCCAAAGGCTACTCTGCACCTTTCAGAATCAGGCCCTTGAGGGAAAAGTGGGAATTAGGTGCTTGGATTGCACTCACCTTGCTGTCCCCTCCTCGTCGCCGCTGGAGTCTTTCCACATCATCAATCTCATAGACTTTGATTTCAAAGGGTTCACCAATCCCTCTCTGTCCACTTCGCAGTGGGCCATCCACCCAACGGACCCCAGGGCTATTGGCAGGTTTCCTTACTGGGGAACTTGTATCAAGTGATAAAGCCGGGATGAGTCTTCGTCTCTGAGAACCTAAAAATGCATGAATTGTCAAGTGATGCTAGCACAGTTAATTCCTCTCATTTCTTCTGTTTCCAAAGGAGAGTTCTATTAACAAATGTATCCAATCCTCTCCCACAGAGAGCATTCAGAGATAACCTAGAGGGACATGAAGGTTTGAGTTTGCTTAACTCTGAACATACAGTACATATAGTATTACAGCCCAGATCCTCAATGATATTTAGGTGCATAAGTCCAAGATTTAGGCCTAAGACAATCTACATCCCCAAACTTGGATCTTGCATATATTTCTTGATGTGCATAGACAGCGGTTCTCAACCTCTCTAGACTCAAGGCACCCCTCTTCCAAATGGAGGCGCCTCTCATCTGACTCAAGACACTCCTTAGATAATGCCAGCTCTTAGTTTTCACTCATTTTTTGAATACAGAAAAATAATAGAGCAATGTTTCTATTGCAAAGAATTCAGAAAGAAGAAAACAGGGCAGAAGGGTTTTAATACTATGGATTCCTACTTGAAATCCCTGGGTTTATTTTGTGAATCATATAACAGTGCTAAAACTGCCTGAAACCCTGCAACACCCTTGAAAGGATCTCAGGGCATCCCGGCATGCCATGGCACCCCGACTGAGACTCACTGTAAGTATTTGCAGCAGGGTCAATGTCTAAGATTAAATTAGACTAGTAAGGTTTATCTTGGGTTCCCTTGCTTTCTTTGACTAGTGTAACATTTTCTGAGAACAATGCTAACCTGCTCATGCTAAAAAGCCCTGTCACCAACTAGGTAAATGCAAATATTTAGGGGAAATACTTGTAAAGTGCAAAGGGTGCTTTGGCACACAATGTCTATTAAAAGTCACTTGGATACAGGCACTTAGCTAAGAGTCACCTGCATCTTTGAACATTTCCCACTCTAATACCATTGTCATATGAGTAAGGGGATAAAACATTCCTCTGTACACTGGTTGCAGAAACTTACCTGCAACAACTATTTCTTAATGTGGTTATCATTGTCAGAGTTTCATTAGCCTTATTTATACAAGAATTGATTTTAAAAAATCTCTCACTGGTGCACTACTGTAAATGGCTCTCCAGTGGTGGCCTAAAGGACAGGAAGCACACATCCAAAGATCAACTACAGGCATTTTTAACTACTGCACCCTCCAACCCCTGGGTAGAAAGCCTACTGTTTTAAAAGTCCATCAGCTGCCCACATACAGCCTACATCAAGGGCAGCCAACCTGCGGCACACATCCATAATTGGCATGGAGAGCCTCCGTGGCACGCAGTTCAGGGAAGGAGCAGGGAACACAGCTACAGATGGGGCAGGGAACAGAAAGCAGAACAGCAGATTTGGTAGGGAGCACAGGGCATGGGAGCATAAAGCAGAGCAGCAGATTAGGCAGGGGAAAGGATTTGTGTGGCACTTGGGGAGGGTGTGGGGCTTAGTTTGTGGCACACCTGCCAAAAAGTTTGTCCCCCACTGCTCTACATTAACTTGGCACCATTGCTGATGGTGGCAATGCAATGGTCTAGGAGTTTTTGGAAAACTACAGGGTAGGCACGGTTGAAATGGCGTAGAAACCTGCTGTTCTACTAACCACTGTAAATATGGTGCTGGCTTAACAGCATGTGGAAGAAAGCAAGCATGGGCATATAAGGTGATGGGAAACAGAGAGAAAAAGATTGTAAATCAAAAACAAATTGGTTACGTTTTTCTTCATGGCTTAATATTGTAAGAGAGACAGATGGGATCAAAAAACTTAGTTGGTTGGTTTGGCAGCCGCTGCACTATCCCTCCTAGGAGAGATTAGGAGGAAAAATACAGAACAAAAACAAAAGCCAGAGCCAGCCAGCCTGAATGAAACTATTAAATGGATCTCTTGGCTGCAAGAACTGAGCCACATGCCAGCAGGGAAGGGCTGCAATATGACTGTATGTGGATTTTATTTAAAAACCAAGATAAAATCATTTAGCGGCATCTCAAGAACTACATTCATTTAAAGTTAAATGTAAACAGCATCTAAGCTACTGTCAAACCAGTGCTTGGGTAAAAGCTAAGCTATATTGACCTTCCAGTGTTTGCATTTGCAAATAACAAAAGTACTTCTCATTTTCCAACCAACATTTGCTGGTTTTCTGCCAACTGCAAATGGCTAGGTCCTTTCCCACTGACAGTGGGTGCTGCTGGTCTGATGAGATCATTTTATTTCCATCATGCCATTTGCTCTGTGAGAAAGCCTATAAAAGTGTCCTGCTGGGCTTCCTGTCCCCAAGCAAGCATCCTGCATCCCGGGCTATCCCAGTTTAAACCCTTTCCAGTATAAAAATCTCCGTCAAGGAAATGCTAGGGCTGCAAAGTGAAGTGTTCAAATGCCTGGAAAGACACAAAGTAAGGTTGCTTGTGCAAGCCTCATTCAGCTCCCTGTGTTCAAATGCAGATTTAATTGTCTCACCAAATGCTGTGTTCTCCTTAGGGCCCTCACAAAATGGGGCAGCTGTTCCACATATCACTTCTAGGCTCCATGGCATGAGCTGACTTTTAAGTAGGAGGAGCAAAAAAAAAGTTTCTGTTGGGCAAGTTATTCTCTAACTGCCTGCCTTAGGGTCCCTTGTTGCAACTGCTGTTGGTCACTGGATGAGATGCACCACTGGGCTGATCCCACATGGCAATTCTTTTGCTCCTTTCCTGTCCCGTTTCTATCCTGGTTGTGGCCCCTAGTTTCATTTATTGTACCCTAACCAATCATCTCTGAGCCTTGCCTCATTCACTGTCCTTCCTCAATCATCATCTGACTGGTATCAACAGTGAAACAACATATTATCCTATAATTAAAGGTATCTCATCATTAGGTTTGGCAGGATTAGATTTTTATTGGTAAACGTTGAATAACATCAATTTCACTGCACACTCACAGATGAACACAAAAAATATTCCCATCCTTAATAATAGAAATTTATAGAAAGGGAAAAATAAGAAAAATAATAGCTGATGGAGTGCATGACAACAATAGGAGCAGCCCTACAGCACCGGGCGGATTGTGGTTTGGACTGCAACTCCCAGAAAGCCCGGGGAACTGGGAACAAAGGAAGAGGAAGTGACAAAGTGGACAAGGGAGCTACAGGCAAACGGAAGCCGAGACTGATGGCAGGTCCGCTGCTTAGCTGGTGGCAGTCCTACAGTGTTATATTTATCATGGCAGGCAGTTAAACTGCACAATCCTGAAAATTTAAATCAATAAAAATCTAAATAAATACTTAAAAACAAGCATTGATATTATCCATCAAAATTACTAGAAAATAAAAATTGAATTCTGCCAAGCCTATTTGCAAGGCATGTACCAAAGTGCACAGATGTAATACTGGGTGAACAATCCTAGCTTTGGCATTGATGGTAATACAGAGCTTCATTCCACAACTTAAGTGCTTTTTCATATTTTTGCATAGACTTTCCCTGGTGCTTTCAAAAGGGAATGGGATAAACTATAGTCATTCCCTATTTGCCAGACAGGAGAAGGACCTTTGGCTGAATCTCCAACCCATTAAAGACTCTTGTTAACTTCAGTAGCCTCCAACCTATGAACATGGTGAGTCAAAGGTTTCTGTGGTTCACAGTATTGATAAATGAAGGACGCAGGTCCTCTTCAGACATGCATTTACCTTTTTGTATACACAGGAATCCTTCAGAGCAGGGGTGCCAAAGATATGGTCCATGGAGCCCTATGATCCAGCTGGTGGGTCTGAGACTGATCCCTCATGATGTATACAGCAAGAGCTGGCCCCAACCCCATGTGCTTGCTGCATGTGGTGCAGAGAGCCAGTCTGGTATGTGCTACATGCAACATAGAAGCCAGTCTGGGGAATGCACTATATGTGGTCCCCTGCATGCTGGCTCCAGGGCCAGTCCAGACTGGCTCCATACGCCAGAGCCAGAGTACATAGGGCTGGTCCAGTGTGGACACCTCATGCAGCATACAATCCAGGGGAAGCTCTACATATGAGCCCCAGACTGGGGTCAGCACATGGTGCGTGAAGTGCACAGAACTAGGCCAGAGCATGTACTATATGAAGTGCCCGCATCAGACTGGCCTTGTGCACTGCTCCCAGGGCATGGGGTCAGTCTGTGGGCCCAATCCGATCCACACACTGGCTCTGTGCCCCTCATCCAGCCTGCAGTGCAGGATGAGTTTGACACCGCTGCTTCGGCGTTCTGCCTTGTGCTGTAAGCATGCTCACAGATCACACTCCCTATGTACCTATATGTTAAAGGTGAAATGCTACCTAGCTAAGGTGCTCCTGCATATGCATTGTCACAGGCGCCCTAGCAGCCTGTTACCAAATTTCAACACAAAAAATAGTAAGCATAAAACATATTAAAATTAATGGCCATCCTCAATTACTTATTATGTATATTTCTATAGTGCCTATTCTGCAAGAATAGCATAGCACATTACAAAGCAGGGTAAATATCAGAAGCAGCTGACATTTTTTCATCAAAATGTTTCTCGGCTTTTCAACCAAAACAAAAGAAATTATGGGACAATTTTATTTTGGTAAAATATTTCCAGGGTTCGCAGGGCAGGGTGGATTAATATAAACCCCTCCCTTTAAGTAGTAAAATCGTTCTGTAAAATACCAGTTTCCAGGATGAGTATCTCTCTCTGGGTTTTAGTTTATAGTAAAAAAGAATCTGGTTTTGGTTTTCAAAATCAAATATTTTTTAGCAAAGCTCAAAAATGATTTTTTTGAAAATTGAAACAGATCCACTTATTGGCATTTTGCTTTTTGTAAAAAAGGTTTTCACATGAAATTCCCAAAATCCCACGTGTTCAAAATGTTTCACTAAAATATAACTAAATATGACATTTAATTATATCAAATACTACTGTATGAAATATACATACACACACCATATATCTGACATGATTTAACATACTTCTGACTGTTATTAAGGTTTTGTTATTTAGGTAGTATAAATGTGAAAATTGAGACAAATGAGGCCAGATGCTGTACC